TCTGATTTGTGCTCGCGAATTCGGTCAGAGACATGTCGTTTCGTCTCCCCGATATAGTAGTCACCACAGGTGCAGCTCAGTTTGTAAACCCCGGGGTACTGTAAGTCAGGAACGACATCCTTCACGGATGGGATCAGGTCACGGATTTTGTGTACTGTATTGAACCGGACCAGGATCTTGTGTTTGTTTAGAATTTAGGAGATCTTTTAGTAATGCCTGCTATATATGGTAGTGTGATGGTTTTGACCAGAGTATCAAGTGGATGTTTCTGTATGGAGGGAGAAAGAGCTTGGCGGATGGTACAGTCAGAGTATCCGTTTCTCTTGAGGGCCAGGTGTATATGTTTTAATTCACTGGTCAGGTGGTGTTGGTCCAAAATGCAATGTGCCCTGTGGTATAACGTTTTGATGAGATAATTATTTTGAGCTGGGTGGTGGTGGGATTCAGGTTTCAAGTAGGAAATCTGTGTGGGTGGGTTCCTGTAGACAGAATGCCCTAGTGAGCCATCAGGTCTCCTCTCAAACAGAACATCCAAGAATGGTAGCTTGCCATCTTTCTCCACTTCCATGGTGAATTTGATGGCGGGATGTCTGAATTGATGTGGTGTAGGAAAAGGTTCAAAGCTGGGAGGCCATGTGGCCAAATGACGAAAGTGTCATCCACATATCTCTTCCACAGGGAAGGTCTGAGAGTGGAAGTCTGGATGGCATCTGATTCAAATTTCTCCATGAAAACATTGCCTATCACTGGTGATAAGGGAGAACCCATGGGGGTACCCTCATTTTGTTTGTAGGTGAGGCAGTGCTAGAGCATAGCCAATGTTAGGTAGGCTAGCCGGAGGAATCTCTCCATAATTATCGGAAGGGGCCGTACCCCTTTGTGTATTGTTACGTGCTGCCTCCAGAAGAGAGAAGTCTCCGCATGTTTATACCCACTACAATAGTATATATCGACTCTATAATAGTACTAAATTTCACAGAGTGTAGTGGTGAGGCCCAGTCCTGGTGCAGTGTCCCCGGTTTCTCCTAGATTGCCCAGCCGGCTGATGTGGCACCTTTGCAGGCTGGGGGTGGGCTGCTACCCCCCTCCCCCACCATCCCCCCGCCCGCTCAACAATAATATTATCCAAGGACTATAATCGTAGCATTTACCGACCCTATAGTAGTAAGTGCACAATTGGGGAGAAGACATCACACTGAAGAATTGACCTCAGCGTTGGGTATTTTTTATTGCATTTTCAACATGAACGAGAATTCTGCCAACCCGATAGCGTGTGTGCGTTGATAGGGGCAATCACCACCGCAGAGCCGACTTTCTCGCACATGCGCAGATGCGTGCTCTGGCACCACTCCGTGCTTATAAAACGGAATAAATTGTTCACTTAACTACTTTAAACTTGACAGACGTGAAATACGAAGAGCGCTTTTTCGTCCCAGGGCATACGGCGTGGTATCTGTGTACTTTTTCGATGCGTAACCCCACAGTTTGTAAGTGAAAAACGTCACAAGGTACCCACGCAGACAGACACGCAGACAGACACGCAGACACACAGACAAAAAATGACTTTTAGAGGTAAGGTATCGTGTAGTGTAATAGTGTAGTGCAAGGCCGTAGCCATGGAGTCAACATTGGGGGGGACTCAGATCTTCCAAGGGGTCTGGGGTCCCTCCCCCCGCCCCCCAGAAAAATATCTCATTTGAAAAATTATTTCCTGCCATTTCCTGCCTAAAATATTAAAAATTCACCAACACATGGGATAGACTTTTTATTTACAATAATGTCTAATAGTGTATTCCATTGCTCTGTTTTTTACTTTTTTACCATTTCTTGCTTCATTGTATGTAATGTTTGAGATTAGGGATTAATAAAGTACAACCATAACCACAATCATATAAACAGAAATCTATGCATTGATTTATATGAAGACAAGTCCAGATGTTGTGGCCAAGGTTTAGCAAATTGCATAGCAATTATTACTTTTAAAAACATTTTTTATAGCAATATATTGGGGGGGACATTTGAGCACATTTGAATATCGGGGGGGGATGTGTGCCCCCCAATATATTATAACTAGCTGTACTACCCAGCTTCGCCTGGGACTTGGATTCAGCACGCCCGGCCGTCTTTGTCTCCCCAGTGGCGATGTTCACACCACAACAGTTACTCGTTTGGGCTGAGTCGACCTAGAAGAGGCCCAGGACCGGTTCAAATAATCGTCAACGGGGGTTGGCCGTGAGCGGGAATCGAACTCGGGTCGCCGGGTTCGTAGCGCTTACCGCTACACTACTACTTAGACCTGCAACACATTTGTATTTCACTTTACCCGCGGAGGGTGTGGGGGGACATCAGCAGGCATACTCTGTTACGCTTCCGCATAGGGTCACATCTGTCACATGACAGCTCACTTACCGTGCAAAATAAATGCATTATTGCGCCCACCCCCCCCCCCCCCCAAAAAAAGTGTATTTTTATAATTATTGCATGGTGTACAGTCTGGAAAGTACCCACATGGCAAATATAAAGTTTGGTGCATGTCGGGAAGTACGCTAAACATTTTGAACAGGCACAATCAAAAATTTCCCTTTTATATACTGTATATAGAGGAAGATTACGGCCTTGGTGTAGTGTATAGTGTAGTGTACTAGTACAGCACACCGGTGTGTTGGAGATCAAAGCCACACCATCATCGGTGTGCTGTACTAGTCACGAATTGGCACGTTCTGTTGACGTGACAACCCTCACTGATTGGCTGTAGTGATGTATCAGAGGAGCTGGTGCCAGGCGCAGTGCAGCTACTGTAGTGAAGAATCAGTGGAGCTGGTACCAGGCGCAGTGCAGCTACTGTAGTGATGTATCAGAGGAGCTGGTGCCAGGCGCAGTGCAGCTACTGTAGTGAAGAATCAGAGGAGCTGGTGCCAGGCGCAGTGCAGCTACTGTAGTGATGTAGCAGTGGAGCTGGTGCCAGGCGCAGTGCAGCTACTGTAGTGATGTAGCAGTGGAGCTGGTGCCAGGCTCAGTGCACCTAGAGCCGCAGTCGCGACGAGACCGAGTAAGGGGGAGCATCTTGAAGCTCACCAATTGGTCCAAGCAGCAGAGCTGGTGCCATGCTAGGTGCACCTGGAGCCACCATCGCCTCCTCCCGATTGGACGGCGCCTTCCAGCAGCGTGCGCTTCTATTGGCTCAGCCACGCAGACCAAGTTGTAGCCGATTCGATTCTTAATCATAGCTCAACACGATTCAACCACTGTAAATCAAAGGGGGGCGTTGAAAATCGATGCTCGAATCGATACATCGTTTGTTATTGGATACCCAGGACTGGAGAGAATCGATTTGGTGATCAAGCCGTTTGATCGATTCTGGAGTCGGGAAGGATTCGAAACTACGGAATCACGTTTGAGTAAATTTTGTATTGAAATTTACTTCTGATATTTCCGCGTTTATTTAATGTACTTCAACAATAAAGCAATTTTTTTAAATTTACATCTCCGCGAATGCCAAACGGGAGTTTTATTGTTGAGTTTTTTTCTGCAATTCGATACTTTAAAATATTTCCTCAAAGTCGCCACTGCCTTGGACTCACACTGGTTGGGTGTCTCCCCTCCCACGTGACGCGAAGTTTTTTTCCCGCCAAACTTTTCGGCTCCTCCCCTCGCCCGCCGCCATTTTAGGGGGGCCGGGGGTGAAGGCAGTGGCCATGGAGTTGTGTTGATAAGTTGATAAGTTGACGACGATCGGCCCGGAGTGCGAGGTCTCTCCACTTGTGAGGTAAATAATGCCTCCAACGTCCAGTCCGTGATTTTCAGATGATTTGCAGGTGCAGTGTTGAGTCTATGGGTGGCAGTGTTGAGTCTATGGTGCAGTGGTGAGTCTATGGTGCAGTGTTGAGTCTATGGGTGGCAGTGTTGAGTCTATGGTGCAGTGTTGAGTCTATGGGTGGCAGTGTTGAGTCTATGGTGCAGTGTTGAGTCTATGGTGCAGTGTTGAGTCTATGGGTGGCAGTGTTGAGTCTATGGTGCAGTGTTGAGTCTATGATGCAGTGTTGAGTCTATGGTGCAGTGCTGAGTCTATGGGGCAGTGCTGAGTCTATGGTGCAGTGTTGAGTCTATGATGCAGTGTTGAGTCTATGGTGCAGTGCTGAGTCTATGGTGCAGTGCTGAGTCTATGGTGCAGTGTTGAGTCTATGGTGTAGTTCATAGTTTATTTATTTGGTATAGCCCTGTGAGCCATTCGGCTCTTGAATCGGGTGCAACCTCAACAAACAAAAACATGAACAAGAAAACATCTTAAAGTGATTATGTGACTGTGCAAACAGAAAATCCAGGAAAAAACAATCAAATATTCCTGAAATAGCACCATACACCAACGCTGTGTGCAAAAATCCCAGTGGGATGCAAGTCAAACAATAACAACACCACAAGGACAACTAAGATTAAGGTCATCAGTCTAACTCCGTACTACAATAAACAAAAAAAATGGCCAAAACAAAAAAAAACGTTTTCGAAATCACCAAAATAAAAGCCATAAATGCAATGTAACAGTGATCATAGGGACTGTGACCACATTTTTTTACAATAAACTACGTAAATAAATTATAACACCAAATCTAGAGCCATATTTTAGGCCACTGAATAGCAGTGGCAGCTAGGGTTGTACAACTCCTCTAGAGCAGTTTTGAGTGAAGATCTCATAGGTAGTGATTCAAGTTGCAGTTTATTGGCAATAGCATTCCAGAACCCTGGGGGCATCAATAGCAAAGGCCCTTCCTCCGGTTTTTGTACGGCAATAGGGAATGTGAAGCTGGTAGCTGAGCGAAGACCTGAGGTCAAATTTGTTCTTTGAAACAAGAGAGGAGATCCAGTAGGTAGTCTGCGGATTTTTTTTGTAAAGTACATCGTGAATAAATAAGATCTGGTGCTGAGTTCTATAGTGCATAGTTTTCATTTCATAGTTTCATTTATTTGGTATAGCTGTGGTGCCGCCACAGCGGAGCCGTACCCACCGGCGCGACACTGTCACCGATGCCTTGGATTTCCCGCCACTCTCCCGGGGCCGGTGCCTTCTCAAGACGTCCGCGTTTTGCCCACTGCACAGTCGCGAGGCCGCCGCAGCAGAGCCGCTCTGCCGAGGCCATGCCCGCCGCCGTGAAGCCGCCACCGGGGATGCCGACGCGGCGCACCCTCGCAACCCCCCCCTTTCCCCCCCCCCCCACATGAACGCAACACACGCCCCACGTAGAGCCGAGAGGAGAGGTCACCCCGGCCGATAGGTTTTTGTCCAGAAGTCCCTAATGGGATCGAACTTCATGGTTTCCTGCGGCCGGGAAATTGGGCGATCTTCCCCCTGTAGCTGACATGCACTGCGGCGCCGCGACCTAATATTAAAGTTGCATGGTCACGGCAGGGCCTCGAGCCACCACGAGTGGAGCCACACACGCACAAGCACGGGTCAGTGGACTGGTAGCGGGAGAACAGAGGAGCGGAACGTCGGAGAGATCACTGCGGCGACGTCACCCGAGCTGGGATCCGGGTATCGAAAGGGGCGGAAAAATCCGAGCCCCTGATTGGACGGAGGCCAAGGGAGCGAAACGGCGGAATTCCTTTGTTGTAGGTGGGATAAAGGAAGGGGGATTCAGGTAGCAAGGTGAGTTCTTCAAAATCTTAGCGGTCTACGGAGCAACAGAGTCAGCCGTTCGGGACGTCCGTGTGACGAACTCCAACGCAGCCAGGCTCCACTCTCGACGAGGCCGACCTACCATCACCTCCTTCTACAACGTTCAGCGCAGCTTAAGGGAAGTAAGCGTGTGTAAGAGAAGTGAGTCCGGAGTCAGTTAATCGGGAGTAGAGAGCGGAGCGATAGACAGTAGGTTCAGCCTAGAATCCCCGGGAGGGTAGGCTGGCAGCCACTGACGTACACACACACGCGTAGTTAAACGAGTTGCTCAGGTAAATCAAATTCGCTAGTGGGGGGATTAAACTGTGTTGTGTGGTCTTTTGGGAGCGTGAAGTGGAGGGCAGAGTGTGCTGGGTGTCTACGTGTATGCGCGGCTGTTCACCTCGGGACGAAGTGTGTGGTGTTTACGTACCCGCACGATTGTTTACAATAGCGCGTAGCGCTCGCATACCAGTGTGACTGCGTTGCGATCGCGCACCCGTGCAACTGTGTACAGTACTGTGCGCGCGTGTACGGCATACGTGGCGATTTTCGGTGGTGGCCAGTGCTCGCGTACCGTGATATCGCTCAGAGAGAGGAACACGCAAACTCCAAATATACAGCAGCAGTAGCAGTAGCAACAGCAGGCAGTGTCAGGTCGTGGATCGAACCCACGACCTCCTTGTAGACCGGGCGAGGTCGTCAACATCTCCTAGCCACCGTGGGTGCTGACCAGAATGGATGTCTTGCAAGTCTCTCGGTGGAGTCTGGCCACGTCCTGCTGCATTCTTGTCAATTTCTCGTTTGACGCGTGCCAACTAAATGTGAGAAGCCATCTGACAACCAAATATAACCATGATAGAGGTTTGTTTGAATCTTGACTAAAAGCTGTCGTGACTGCAGGAATCATTTTTCTTTGAGTCTTTCGGTAAAGTCAACGGGGGGTTTCAAAATTAATAAATTAAAAATAATGAATAAAAAACCTCGACGTGCCAGTCTCAACACAAAGCAGTCATCTTCAGGTGTGGGGGCATCAACAGGAGATCAGATTCAGACCTGTTTAGCTAAGGTGTGCTGGAATCGACGATAGAATCTAAGATCGTTTGTTAATGCATTGAAAGAATGGAGAGAATCGATTTGAGGATTAAGCCGCAGATCGATTCTGATGGATCGAGTCGGAAAGAATCTTAACTACAGAATATCATTTGGTGATATTACCGCGTTTTGTAAATATTTACATAACCAATAAAAAATTTGTGTTTTTTATTCAGACCGCGCCAATGCCCAACGCGAGTGTTTATTGTTGATGGTGAGTTTTGTAAATTCATCGTACGGTTAAAAAGAATAAAGTTTTCCCGTAAAAAAAATAAAAATCTCTCCGCCTTGGAGCCAATCAGATTTCAGTTTCTCCCCTCCCACGTGACGCAAGAGTTTTCTGGCTCCTCCCCTCCTCGCTCGCCGCCATTTTGAGAGTCGTGAGGAGGTGAAGCCTGCGGCCTTGACAACGACGAAGATTCACCAGGGTCAGTGACAACCTCACACTTCATCACACACTGGACAACCTCACACTCACACTGACAACCTTACACTCACACAC